GGGGGTGCTGGGTGGGGTCTTCACCTGTTTCCATCTCCCCTCAGGCTCAGGGGCTTCCCCACCACCCCAAGCTGAGGAGCCTGATATCCCAGAGTTACTGTCCCCTTCCCCGCCAGACCCTCCAGCCCTTCCCACCCCACTGGGGCATGCAGCATCTTTGGGACTCGCACAGCCGGGAAACCCAGAGAATATTTAGTTTGGTTTCTGACTCATCCACGGCCCCTTGAGACAGGGAGGACCCAGGGGAACGTGCGAAAGGGGGTCACCTCTGCTCTGAAATTAGTAGGCACCAAGGACATGGGAAAAGGTTTCTAGAGCAGCTGAGGTTTCGGGGAGGGACCAGGCAACTCCTGTTCCCCTCACCCACCTCTGCTTGCTTCTCCTGGCAGGGGGTCTGCCTGCCACTGAGCCCTGACCACTGCCAGTCCCACTTAGGTGCCCACCCACAATTTAGCTGTTTCACAACAACTGCCCCCTCTCCGCCCTGCAAAGCTTTACCCTGAGGTCCAGGCAGCAGAGGCCATGCTACGATCCCACCAGGAGGCAGAAGCCACCTGTCCTTGGAGACAACTTCCAGCCACTGCCACCACTCCGAAATGTCTCTCCCATCTGCCCCTGCACCAAACCCTTCATGCGCTTCAGTGGCTCCTCTCTGCCATGAAGCAACTGGAGCGTACGTGCCTGCCTTCTGCTCCGCAGCCCACCCCATGCCAGGGCTGCTCAGCTCCCAGCCCACTGGGCTCAGCATCTCCTGCCTCTGCGCCCGGGCTCGGTGTCTCTTTCCTCCATGCCCAGGCTCAGCATCTCCCTCCCCCAAGCGCAAGCTCGGCATCTCCTTCCCCAATGCCTGAGTTACTTGGAGAGGCTCAGAGAGCACCCAAGCGAGACACTCAAAAGCTGGGGCAGCCACCAAGCTGTTTCCTTGCTCCCATTCGTGCCCCCCGTCTGACTGCCTTGGCTGCACTGGCGAGCAGCCTGGCCACTTCTGGGCAGCAAAAAGGCATGTGGTCCCCAAGCGTCGCTGCAGGATCTGGCACCTTCCCAGGAGATGTCAGGGCCAGACCAGCGGGACGATTTGGGAGAAGCAGTCCTCGGTTCTCTGCCATATTATGGAGCCGCCACTATGAAAATGGCTTCAGCATAGCGTGCCTCCTCCAGGCACAGCTTCACTGACCAGGCCTTTTGGTTTCTCTACCAGATTAGGGACAATGGAGGATATTTAACTTGAATAAAGGTGCTTGGAGCAAGCTATTAGTATGCTGAATGGGTTGGTTGGCGTCAGGAGAAAGGGCTTCCTCCAGCGGGTCCGCAAGGGGCTGGAAAAATGAAAGTTTCCCAGAGGTAAAAGAAAAATAAGAGGCGAAGGGGAAGGAGTCTGCAAGAGGGGCAACCTTGCAGAGACACAATGGTGTGGGCAGATGAGTGGCCGCCAAGCAAGGGTTTGCCCCAGGCTCACCCGTGGGACCAGCCCAGGCCGGGGTGCTCTGGAAGGCTCCCTGGTCTGAGGGACAAGTAATGGTGGGGAGCAGGAGCATGGGCACTGCCAGGGGAGAGGAGCCGCTGGGGCCCCAGGGCGCCAGCCAAGGGTGCCATCCTGGGGCTGCCGGTTGCTCCCATGAGCTGAGCTTGTCCCACATAGGAGAACGAGCCAGGCACGACCGTCCCTGGACACTCTGAGGGCTCCAGCTGGCCCATGGGGATGTAGGGGAGAGCCCTGGCACGGGGCAGCAGCTCACTGGGACGAGCATGGGGACAGGGCACAGCGAAGCTGTGGGATCCCCGTCCTTGGGGATATGCAACTCCACCCCCAGACACGTCCCTGAGCAGCCTGCTCTGGGGCATTGCACCTTACTTCTGCTTGGAGCAGGGGTTGGAGCAAAGACCCTCGTGCTGAGGCTGGCTCCCACGGCCAGCAGCGCTCTGCCCTGCTCCAGTGCCTGGCTTGAGCACCCCAAATTTGTAGGTCAGCCTTGGGGCCCGGAGGCTGAACGCCTGGCTTTGCCAGTGCCGATGGAGCTGACGCTGAGAGGGAGCTTTGGCAGCATGGGGGGCTCTGGGGCGGTATCCTGCCTCCCACCTCATGTAAATCCTCGCAGCAAACAAAGGGACCAAGGAATTAAACTTGCCGCAAAAATGGGCTGAGAGAAGAGGGGAGATGTGAGTGTGTCCTCGCTGGTGTCTCCTTCTCTTCCAGCCAAGCTGGAGAGCAGGAAAAGCCTCTCCCGTTCTCCTGTCCTTCTCCTTCCCCACCTCCACTCCACTGCATCATCCTCTCCCCAGCCCTTTCTCCACGCTGCAGCTCCAGCAGGTGACAAGGAGGGGGCACCTGGGGGACAGGAGGCTTTCTCCCCCTCTTCTCCATTGCCAGTGGTCATGACAACGTCTGCCAGGGCCGAGAGCATCCCTCCCCAGCCCAGGTCTCTCCTGTCCTGGCAGATGCCACCTATGATACCACGTCCACCCCATGCACGTATGCGATTTGGGGATCAAATCCAGGTCACTTGAGGAGGCAAGCAGAGGCTGCAGCAGCCTGGCTCTGCCACGGGGCATGGCAAGCCTTTCCAGGCTTTATGGTTCCTTTATGGTTGGACTCGATGATCTCTAAGGTCTTTTCCAACCTAGAAATCTATGAATCTATGAATCCAGCATAACCTCCCCCAAACCTCTGTGGGACCTCTATAGTGCACCTCCCCATCTCCCCTCAGTGGTTTCGCTCTGAGAGTTCCCCGGGGAGACAGTCCTCCAAGGCAAGGATGTGCGTAAGTGGCACTGAGCCCAGCACTCCCTGGAAGGATGCTCTTCATAAAAAACACCTCCCTGTCTGTCTGTCTTCCCCCTCTCCCCGAAGAAACCATCTGGGATCAAAACCCCAGAGCCCTCTGGTGATCGGGTTTCCTTCAGCAGCAGCCAGCTTTGCTTTTCTATTTTTCGGAGGGCAGGCTTCCGAGCTGAGCTGACAGTCGGGAGCGCTCACAGGCAAACGCAGGAAACACAGGCCAATTAAGGCAGACAGGCAGTAGACACATCAGCTTTCATCTCGAGATCCAAGTCCCCCGTTCATCACCACGCACTGAAAGGTCTGTGGTTTATCAAACAAAATCACTGTCTCTCCCCCTCTCTTTAAAGCTGAACACATCGACTTGGGTGCAGGCTGTGACCTTGTTTAACTAAACATCCTTGCAACGTCCCCCAGAAGGGGGAAAGGAGCCTTTTGAAGAGGCACTGGCCTCTCTCTGCCACTCCCCGTTCATTAGCGGCAGCGAAGAAAAACCCCTCACTCATCCCTCAGCCGGGCGGGGGAATACATATTTAATTGGCTTAATCGCTCTCGGCAAGTCGGCCCTCCCGCGCAGCGCTTCTTTGTGCTCCTTCCATCCGCTGGGACCCCCGGCTGCCCAGGACGGACGGACGGAAGGATAGGCAGC